TTTCAGAGTAGCAGCCGTGTTAGTCTGTATCCGACTTGTGGCACCTTAGCTAAATGCAGTGCCTTGCATAATGACAGGTTTCAGAAGTGGGCTGCAGTCCACGAAAGCTTATGCTCTAATAAATTTGTTAGTCTCTAAGGTGCCACAAGTACTCTTGTTCTTTTTAGTAAGATATAAAATCCTTTGTTATGCCTAAAATCTTTGGAAACATATTTTGTAAATATTTGGTGAAATTTCATAAACGTGTATTGTTATGGAGATCACACACAGTAAATTAGGGCTGGTCCACACTGGGGCGGGCGATCGATATAGGAAACGCAACTTCAGCTACGAGAATAGCGTAGCTGAAGTCGACGTTTCCTATATCGAACTAAATTTACTTACTTCGGGTCCACGCGGTGCAGGCAGGCCCCCCCGTCGACAGCGCTTCCTCCTCTCGGCGAGCAGGAGTTCCGCAGTCGACGGGGGAGCGCTTCTGGGATCGATCTATCGCGTCCAGATGAGACGCGATAAATCGATCCCAGAAGATCGATCTCTACCCGCCGAATTGGGCGGGTAGTGTGGAGCAGCCCTTAGTGTTTCCTATTTCTAAAAGCAATGAACATTGTTATGAACACACTAAACCTCTGTGACTGATTAATTTAAAATAATGTCTGTTTCAGTGAGTTAAATATGTAGTAATCTGGAATGATTACTTTATGAAAGCTTAAGAGTACATTTAAAATATAAAATCAGCTTAGAAATACTGATTAAGAAAATGTAAAACAGAGAAGAGCTGCATCATGTATTTCATAATATTTAATGTTGTATTCAGCAAGACAGCTGACTCACCCTTACTACAAAGTTTTTGCAAATAAATGTCTGACAAACTTCAGGGCATATCAAAAAAACCTGTGACTGACATTTTTTATTCCCAAGTTTAGTGCTTTTAATTGGGTACCTTCTGCATGTCCATTCTGCGTGAGGGAGAGGGTACAAGGGTCTCTGTGGGGAACTGTGACTCTCCGCCACCATGAGGCGGGCCGAGCATCTTGTTATTCTTTCTGCTTTGTCCATCCGCCCCCGCCGGGCTGCAAGCTCAGGCTGCCGACGGGCATAGGGGCACCAGTTTAATAATACTGCATAGAGCCCCATAAATCCTAAGGACGGTCCTGGGGGCGCCAAAAAGCGGTTCCCTGACTCGGCAGGGAGGAGCTGCCTTCCGGAGGCACCGGAGAGCCAGAGCTTCAGCTTGCGGGAGTGGCGAGCCCCAGTCATGG